TTGACGCAAATTTAACTAGGTACGTGATGGACAAGTAAAATTATCTCATTGAAACGAGCGTAACGTAGGCATAATTTGGACTAGTTTAACATATTTTATTTGTCTGGTAAAATCCATAGGATCTTTACCATTTCTGTATAATAAAAAAAGGCCACCAAAGGGAAAATTTACCGCAGATTTACTTTGAGAGAATTCATTACAAACGATAAACGAATATATATCGATTGTGTGACATGACAAGAAAATTAATCCATTGAATTAAACACATTATACGTTATGTAATAATTTAACTACAATAAACTTGCCATATAATATGCTGAAACTGTAACTACAATATATTGTTGGTTGGACAGTTTACAGTAGAAAGACACCTTTAAAATGCATCCTATTCCTATTGCATAATTACTCATTATAAAGGGATTCTTATTTATATAGTAACATATGTCGATCTAATTATTGCAGGGATCCAGGTACGCAATACGATATGGGAAAGCAGACAGACGTGTAGAGGGTAGGAGATGGAGACTTTTGCTCTTTTTATCAGTTGCAACGAAACTTTTGTGTAAAAATAAAATTATCCGATTAAAATTCAAGCTCTTGTGTATTGACCCCTAATAAAACTTTGTGATGATAAAATTGCAGGTGTTTTTTTGTGCAGAATTTTCCTTATTTGTAGAAATTATTTGTTATGCTTCTGTGTTGAAGTTAAAAGGATATGGTTTAAATAAGAGAATAATTAATACATTTTGATGAATATAAAGAATGTACCTACTGTTCGAAGTGTACACCCTTCACACAATGATAATTTTTAAAAGCACTGATATCAACATTAATGTTAAATATGATTAGAAAAGGGAGAGCTGTTTCAAAAGTATTTGAGCTTGGACATTCTGTACTACTCAGAAAATCCAGGGTCGTAGCATAGTGTCCCAATCGCTAGACTACTTGAATAGATACATGAATGAAAACATCCTAACTTTGTTATTTGTTTATAGTTGTAACTATATGAAAGGATAGTCAATTCACTTTTAGATCACACAAATGGGCAAAGAGGTGGGGACCATAGCTCTCGGTATAGATTAATCCTTCGTAACAACGCCATAGCAGAATCTGTTTGAAAAGAATAGCAATTTCTTACTCTCAGATTTCATTAACCACCAATTTTTTTCTCCGCGATGAATGTTGCAACCGAAACCTATAAATGGAAATGTCAACATTTTACAAGTGCTGCTATCCCCATGCCAGGGAGCAAAGCATTTTTAATTTTTTCTCTTTTGTGACTCAGTTTATTTCTATCGTTTAGTATCAGGCTTGTTGTTGATTCAGGTGCACTTACACAAAAATGGTGACCAGTGGTTATTTGCAGGCAAAATATTGGCCATACACGATTAATCACGTATGACTCTGTAAAAATTCAACAATTAATTATAGAATGAGCTCAGGTTAAAATCCAGTATATAATTTATTAGTTACTTATCATCCAGCTAGAATCATTTGAATTGAAACAAATTTGGTGTATCTATCTCAAATCACTGTAAGATGCCATTTGTGATTAAAATGCCGTGTCGAATCCATACAAAGGGAAGCTAAAATATCTTTCCATCTAAATATTAAAATGATACATGGCTGAAACGTAGGCGAACCCTAATGATTATTTAAATAAATCGACGTTTACAGATTCAAACTTTATGCGTATCAAAATTTAAGTGTCAAGGATAGTGTAGGTTCCCGAATAGTCCTACAGAAGATTTTATCAGTGACCACAACACGTATAGAAACTGTAATTATTGTCTATCAGTAGTGCAAGTAGGTAACTTTAGGGAACAGAAGTAGCATTTTCTCCGATACCCTATTAATAGTATCAACCATTGGCTGTTATCGTGCAAAATATACAAAAACCTACTATTAACGGTTTGTCAGTAAAGAAGGCCATAACTGTATCTGAATAAATTCAAGCCTGTGCACATTATTTTGTTAGGATTCAAAATTTTTGTTTGTCCGTGTGTCTTCTTTTCAACAGTCTACAACCCAGACAGGCTAGAAAAAACCAAAATTGGCATAGATCAAAATAATCACAAAAAGAACCCATGGGAAATGAGGAGAGGGATGGGATTAGGTTTCAAAATGCCTATCATGACAAGTTAAAAATGACAATTTATTTTTTGCATGAAAACTGTTTGTTTTATTTCACCCCTTTTTTTGTCATATGTTTATGATTTTCTGTACGAAAAAAAAATAAAGCCGCTATTATTATTATTATGGTCAGTCTTTTTTGTTAGAACTCGGGTCTGTCTGTCGTTCGTCTGGTCAAGTTTTGTTTGGTCCTATTTTTAAAAATGTATATACTACTACCAAAGAGTACCCTACTATTACTCCAAACGGATGAGTGCTATCTTTGGCAATGAAAAGTTGCGATGTATACCAACGCCGATATTATTCTTCAATAAAGTATCACTACTGTTTAAATCGGTAACAATACATTATAAATGCGTTTATCGTTGCTTAAATTGCACACGTCTCCTTTGATGATAAAGTATCGGATAATTTAAACAGATTTAATTGTCGCCCTAAAACGATAAAACTAACCGGGAAGAGGGAGAGGGAGAAGACCAGACGACTAAAAAAGTGTTATTGACGAAGGTGATTTGAATTAAGAAACTCTTTTCCCGAGATAAAAATATCTAGTTGTTATGCATTGTTTTACGATTTTTATCGTTGTTTTTGCTGTTGTGGTTTGATTAATTCCTGGTTTTTTCTCAAGTATTAGGTATACCTACTAGATTTTATTGTATAATGATTCTATAATTACCTCTTTGTATGTTATGTTATAGCATTGTTATAGTGAGTGTGGTGTACATGTATCTATTCTTAGTTTGATAGCAACAATGTAATTATTTGTTTAACTTTGCATAATAAGTATTTTTTTCATCGTGTGTGAGGTAAATTCGCCCCGGAAGATTTGTCCTCGAAATATTCTCACCCGAAGATTCGCTCCCAGAATTTCGAGCGCGGAGCAGTAACTGCTCGAAAAATTTGGCTCCAAAAATATCACCTTCGGAATTTTCGGCCTCCCACGGAGAGTGGCACTTTACTCAGGCTATTATTGATACCTCCCACCTGAAAAGCGCAAAAAAATTCATGTTGTTAATCAAGTAGTAAGAAAAGACGTTAAAAATATTATTAAACTCAAATCATAAAAACCAGTACCTAAATAATGTTTTATTACAAAATATTTTACTGACTATTTTTTAACCTTGAATTTCTGGTAAATTGATCCTAAAATTCAGGTGATTTTTTTTAATTGTATCATCTTTGTTTTAAGGAAATCCTCATAGTACCTAGTCAAGGAAAGGAAGGTTGGCAATTTTTTCAAATCGAATCGATCAACATGAAATTTTGACAGGAGGTAGGAAATAGCCTAAGGATCAAATTCTATACCATGCCAAAGGGCGCGTTAACTCTGGGGATGGTTTCCACCCTATTTCGGCCTTCGGAGGTGGATTTTTTAAATTATAATTTGACAACAGTAGTAGGTAGATAGAAAAATTCATTCTAAGCAAAAAGTGTTCTTATAATTTTTGTAAAGTTAATACTATTCGAGTTCTTCGCGACCTAAAGTATCATTTTTTTCATAGAAAAAGTTAATGTTTTTACTTGGTTATTCGCATTTTTCGAAAAAAACTTGTAGAACCTTTTTTCAAAATATTTAAAAACCTCCTTTTTTTACGAAATAAACATTAGCATAAAAATTAAGCGAGTTCGACCGGCTAGTGTCGTAATGGGATAAATGTGGCAACAGTTTGGCGACTATTTTTGAGTATGTGCACATTTTTGAGTTAATAAAAATGTTACCTTTACTTTACACCAGTGACCGGGTTTCATTTGAATGTTCTTTAGGTATATATTATATCTATTATTTTGTTACTTATCCACCTTATAATCTTCAATTGGGCAATAAAATTAATCACCCTTTCATTTCAATATTACGTAATGTTGTACTACAAAATTTAAATTTTCACATTAAAATACAGCTCAAAAACACCTACTACTATATACTGTCAAATCAACACTACTTCAATAATAAAAAAACCGGCCCCGACTTTTATCCCAAGCGAGAAAAAGAGCCCGCACCATTCATCTCGCTTGGTTCTCGATCAAATTCTCAGATCAAAGGCGCCGCTCGGAGTTGTAGAGCCGATTTTTAGTAACTTAGGCAAGTATATAGATTCATGATTTTTTTGCTAAATCTGAAGTTCGGTAAAACATTCCGGAATCCACTAGATACCTTATCTTCATTTATGAGACAAAGTCTTCGTACGCTCGATCTTCGATTTGTCTTTTCTTGACTTTTCACTGGTAAGCGCTACAGCTCTGAAATTATACTCGTAAACGTATTTGCTTATGTGAAACGATTCCTAAGTTACCATTCCCTTGATTTTTTACTTTTTTGAGGCGATTCACAGATTCTGCGAGAAACCTGCTTTTCTTAGCAATCCATGTAGGAATTTTTGTTTCAAATTAATTGTGATCTTAAATGTATTCATACTGCACTATTTGATGCATGTAATTTATTTTAACTCTTTGTGCTAGGTGACAACCATTTTCGTAATTATGGATTTTCTGTTTTTAATGTTGTGTGTCCAAGCAGTTCTACTGTCTTCTGAGTTCTTTTATCTGTATAATGGTTTTGGGGAAACTTGATTCTATAGAACGCATTTGTTACATGAAAATGAACTGTTCCTAAGAGCAATAAGAGGGCATTGTATGAGAACATTCAGTTTTTTTCCCGTAAATATTGCGAAACATGGGGTTTTGGTGGTTGCATTTCGTAGTATTTCCCCCATTAGAACATATGAATATTTTTCTGTATTTCTTATTGCGTGTCTAATGTATTTATCCTTGTCCGATCAGATTAACATAAGAATATAGCATTTTGGACAATATACAGTGGAAATTTCCTAAAATTTCAAAGGGCCCGACGAAAAGAGAAGTGTGAGTCCCTCGTAAAAGCTTCCAACTAGCTTTGACCGTATAGAGGTTGTCTCTGCTTGCATTTTACCTCGAATCAATAACTTGGAAACTAGGGCAAACGTTCGTGCCATACTAGACCTGACAGTCAAGGTGGTGGTATCTGTGGTCAGTGCAAGTTTTAATTGTACGCGAAATCAATCGCTTTCATATGCGAACGGATACTGCAGTTTCGTTGAACTTGAACTTGTGCAGCATGTTGTGGTGGAGAAAAGGTCGTGGAATTTGCATGGGTAATGTTTTAAGTTATTACCTCTCTAAGCACATTTTGGTATATTTCCTCCCCGAAACGTACAATTTAAAATAGCGCACTCTAGTCCGTGTCTGATACTGTTGTCCTTTGAAGTAAAATTGTGAAAGGTGATTCCGTTACAATTACGATTCAGTAACTTTCTTTGATCGCAGATAGATGTAAATTAGTTGGTTATTGTTGGTATTAACAGCTTAATAGAAAGGTGTTCACTTACTGTGGGGATAACAAACCCCAATTGGTAGGTACCGAATGGGATCTCATCCGTCTATAGTTTTATAATTTCATAATTTTATTTTAGACTGAGGACCGCATTGTGGCAGACGTAAGAATGAAGAAGCGCACCAACACGTTCCAGAGTCAACCAAAAAAGCAAGCGAAACTGGAAATTTAAAGATTATTTCTATTAGTGTCTAAAACTCTGTACAATATTTATAAAAAAAACCTAAATAAAGTATATTATTCATTCTTTTGGCGCATATACGTACCACGTTATTGTTTAAAGCGCAAAACATAGATTCTGATGGTAACCTTGTCTAGCGATAAAATGCAATTTACTGCATTGTTTATGGTAACAATTAGTCAGGTTATTATGCTAAACAGTTAACAATTTTTCGTTTCGATAGTAGTATGGCATTAATGATGAGAAGTATCAATTGGTATTTGAAATTATACATTTAATTGGGTATTTTAATTGTCTGCTGTTTTTCATTTTACTATCTACTTTGCACAAATCACAAATTTAATTATGAGAGCCTGAGAAAAAATTGTTCGAGTAGCAACAAAACAACTTTGGGTTTAGCTCGCAAAACTGCAAACTTTTTTGAATTACATATTTCACTGTTATTGATATTCCCAATATTTATAAGAGAATAGGGGATAATTTAAATCAGTTTCAGTTGTATAATTAAAGTGGGGATACCTGCCTTTAGTTATGTCACACTTAATCACGATGTCTAGTTTTTCATGGGATTTTTAGAAGAAAGTCGCACATCGCGTGAGGAATTTTGCACACTTCACAGTTTAGCGTCGAAGGGGTAAGTGCTTACATTTTAATATTAAGAAAAAGTACCAACGTAAATAATTACTTCCTCAAAAAATGGAACAATAGCGAGTTTATTTGGTGCGGTGTTATACAATCTTCCAATTTACTTGAATGATATGCAAAAGTGACAAACCTATGATATACTTTTCGAAGTGTTATTGTTGGTTTCGTTTTTCATGCATCACGTGCAAATAAGCATTACAATTAAATATGACCGTTCTGGGTCACTTCCACATTAGTTAATAGACTTTTAACAATTCAATCCAACTCTGATGTGTATTGAATTATTTACCTACATTCCTACATATGGAATTTTATTTTTAAGAATAATTATTATTTAACCACCAATGCGATCCTTCAGGAACATTTTGTTATAAGCCTATCATGTTTTTCATTTCTGGAAAAAAACCTTCAAACTTCTAAAAAGATTTTACTCTGGACAAAATCTTTTTAAGCAATGCATAAACCATTTTGATGGTTAATACTTACAACGTATTATATAATTTTGGTATACGTATATGCAAATGTGATGGGAGTATTTGACGCGTTTGTGTTCTTGCCACCCTGTGGAGTGTTTTCGTGTGAAATAACCCTTAATTTCCTAAGAATTAAAATAGATATGTACCATTTTTTGGTGAATTAAGCTTCTTTCTTCCATAAAAAGAAGGTCAAAACTAGTATGTAAAACAATGCAATATTCTTTGGGACTTTCTCGCGACTAAAATTTCCCGTCTATAAATACGAGAACGGCTCAGTTCAATTACCTATTCTGAAGGTTTTGGACTCGTACCTACACCAAAAAACCAAAAATCGACTGCGGTTGTTGGAAACTATCCTAAACTAAATCCTACGCGTACAACGGGTGCAATTACAAGTTTTTAACTTTTAAATGAGGCAGTAAGACTAACTTTTAGATACTTTAATGGGTGTTTAGACCACGATATAAAATAAAGCGTTAATTTATAATAACACGATATTATATCCATGAATACGGAATCCGATTATACTTATACTGACCTTCAATTTTTATTCCTGATCAGCACTAAACTTTCCGCCATGCACGTGAATGGCATTCCGATATAATTTTAGCAAATTTGCCTTGCAAATTTAAAATTTTAAAATCCTTTTTTTAATTTGTATCCTTACATTATTTTGAGCAGTTCAAAGATCTATTTTATTCTATGTACCGTGTGTGACTGTATATAGTGTATCTCGGCTATTTTTAAAGATAGAGATTTGCAGTCGGGACCCTGTGCCATTTTTTTTGGGAATCTTTTAATACCGCAAACAATATTCAATCTAGCTACTTTTGTTTCTGACTTTTATGAGATACAGGGTGAAAACGAAAAGTTTGATTTTTTGGGAGGCCTTTTTTAGATATTTTTACGTAGAATCCAGACGAAAAAAAATGTTTGAACCAGCGTTTCTGAGATGTGCCCCAAAGTTGGTATGTTTTTAACGCAAACCCCGTTTGCACTTATAAAATGCACATTATTGGTCCTGTTTTTTTTTTCTAGAAAATATAAATAAAGATGGGGACAGTATCGCGGATACATTGGTGTTTGCCATTGGTGCCGGTATTATAGCACCGATAGGATTTCCCATTAAACCCAAATTAACATTTAATAATTGTGGCGGAAGCAAATATCCGACTGTGGCCTCCCATTAGTATCTCGATTCGTCATATGAATTATAAAGAATTTAAAGACACCATGGGTTTTGCAGTGGGAAATGCAATAAGTTAAGAACTGTCATGATCTTTTCTGTAAATTGTATCTACAAAAACTTTTGAATAGAAAAACATTACATTGGTTGTCGAGTTTAAAGTAAAAAAAATTCTAAAAATAATTTTATAGTTTTAAAAAGTATGATAGAATCATAGAACATTTAGTTAATTTTTCATAAACGAAAAAACAAACCATTAACGAAAAAATGGAAAGTAAAAACTTGATTTCGTAGCTCGTGCAGGCGTCGTGCCACCAATTTTTGCATACATTGCACTTTATCCAGTCTTCAACTGGAGGATCAGTGAATGGTTCCTCGCAGCTGAGACAAAAAACGTCAGATTTTTTTTGAGCCTCTGATAGATTTTTCCACTTCTTGAAAACGTTTCTTTTCGCTTTTTCTTCTCATTTTCTTTCCTTAGCCTGAATTTTATCATTTTTTTTTCGTTCTTTCTCTTCAATGTATTCTTTATTGGTCAATATCGATGCCTTTTGCTTCTTTCCGGTAACGAGGCAAACCAATCACAATCACTCCACTCTCTCTTTGCACAAGTTGATTGCTTCTAAAGATGTATGGGATATGATTATCAACAATCAATAAAGATGGCACTCCGTTGGAAGGAGAGGTGTATTCAATAAAATGACGAAGGTACTTAACAAAAGCATCTGTGTTCATCCATCCATCCACTCTGTTGAGCTATACCTCCGGAATTAGGGGGATATCCATGTAACACTTTAGGACACATTCTCACTCTGGCAAAAACAGAAAAGAATGGAACGTACGAACCTTGTGCGTTTATGGCGCATCTTGAAGCTAATAAAGTTCGAAAAATATCTTGAACAAAAAATCCTCTGACGCTCGTAGTCAAGAATCATGTATACATATATATTTTAGATTTAAATTTCAAATAATGTTACGTACCACTTGATTGATGACGTTGTTACGATTTTGTGTATAATAGTAGGTATTATATGTACGTAACGTACTTTAGTAGGTAGTACCTACCTATCACCGTATTCAAATTTTTCGCATAAACAAATTATGATTGCGTATAACAAAGACCAGGTAGAAACAACAAGAATAATTAGTATTAGAAAAAGTTAATTGAGATTCCTGACGTTCTACTAATAAATTACGTCAATGGCTCATCATCGTTTATAATTTTGAAAAGTTTAATATTCTAATATTCTAACATTGGCATTTACACATTGTGCACCCAATAACATTAGGCATTAATTGGTTTTCAGGAGAAGAAGATGGCTGATTCATTTAAGGGATCACAATTAGAATATCTTTTGAGCTATAAATAAGTATATTTTAGCGCGTTTTCCAAAAAGGTATAGAGCTGCTATGGCAGTCACTGTCTCGATCCGTGTGTCCGTACCATACCCAAACAACACACTTCTCTTTTCCGTGTAACACGCGTGTGGCGCAGTGGCATGGCAACGGGTCTACGGTACTAAAGGCCTCTGGTTCGAATCCGAGTTCGGGGTATGGATATTTGTAAGTGTATAGTGGGTAGAATTGGTGGAATAGCCTTGGTTGAAACTCCGTCCACTTAAAACTAAAGTCCAAAAAATAAAATAAAAACACTTAATAAACAAATACAATAATGTGTCTTTTATGGTATTTTTTAGGAGTCTTCCAATTATGCATCGTTTTGTTCAAATTGCTTACCCCCCTCGACCCCTCCATTCTACCGATAAGGTATTTTTACAAACCTAATAGGACAAAAAGATCGTCAATTGAAACTTTTTTAAATATTACCCTTTATATTGTGCCGGTAACTTAGTAAGCTACCTAACTAAAATCATTAAATACAAATTTTTTTATTCCATACTCAAACTGGATAAGCTAGGGTCAGTTTTGCAAAAATAATTTTTCGGTCATAGGTCGAGGGCGGTCGCGTGATCTAAGAGTCTTAGGGGAAAATCCCCATTAGCTGATACCGAAAATAAGGTGGCTTATGTTTATGATTTGCGATTGCAAGTTCGTACATTTTACTTTAGGTTAGATCATAAATCACATTTCTGTCATTCTCTGACCTAGGAGTGAGCTCCGAATCTCTTACGCAGTAAAACGCGACCACTTTCAACAAGTTTTGTCTTAAAGACAATGTGTAGGTAATTGCAATGATTATGTTGGTTTTAAGCTACTAGTAATAAATTATAGTAAGCAGGTAGTAGTATAGTATCAATATCTACCATTCATTAGTCAACCCCTATTTAAATCCATCGCCAGTTGACCTGTGTATGGAGAAAAGCGTATGGTCATAAAAACGTGCGTTAAGTGGTACCTACATGGAGTTCGCAGATGGCGACATAAACATGCACGCCGAGTGAAAACATGGGCATTTAACTTTGTAGTGAATTGGCAATTTGCATAGAATTGATTATAATTTAATTCACTCCCTCCCCCCTTAATATCTTCTGAAATATTGATCCCAGCAAAAAAGTGCATAGAAACCTTTGTGTGGATAATTTTATGTAGATTGCTGTTAGCTCCACTCCCATCTATCAATATCTTTGATATGTTATTTAAGACCTCCAACCACACATATTCCAGAATTCGCTTTCGTACGAATTATTATATAAATCGATTACTTAGGATATGTTGTCACACAAAATACGATTGCAAAATCGCCTTCTAAGGTTAAAGCGATAATTCAGATGCCCCAACCCCAAGATGCTGAATTACGTCGATTCCTTGGAATGATAACATATTATTCAAGATTGCTTCCAGATTTATCAACGTTAACAACACCTTTACGCAAATTACTTGAACAGGATGTTAAGTAGGTACTTACGTGTGGTCGAAGAAATGTGATTCTGCATTTTCTATATTAAAGAAAGAATTAGCTAGTGATCGTGTAATAGTGCCATACGATCCGTCGAAACCGCTAATTTTAACAACCGATGCCAGCCCTTACGGAGTTGCTGCAGTATTGGCCCATACTTCCGAGCAAGATGACCCTCTAGAACTTCCAATCGCATATATGCTTCACGAAGTCTTACCATTGCTGAAAGAAACTATTCACAGCTAGAATGAGAAGCTCTTGCTATAGTGTTAGGAGTGAGTCATTTTAGTTAGACAATATTTCATAGGCCGCAAGTTTACATTAATTACAGACAATCAACCGTTAGTGCGTATTTTTGAACCTAAAGCAAAAGCGACGAATACAACTAGTGCACGTCTCATGAGGTACGCATCAAGTTGATCATCATTTCAATACATTACCAAATTTAAGAAGGGAGAGGAAAATTTAAATGCAGATTGTCTTTCCCGTGCACCTATTTGTCTAATGGTAGTACTGCCGATGTTGCCCTTAACACTTAATTACATCACGATAATGTAGAACAGATATTTACGATTACCAATGACACTATAAATTACTCCATATACAATCAAGTCTGAAACTGAAAATGATCCAGATTTACCAGATATCATACAAGAAATTCAAAATGGTCGCTATTAACCATTATCTCCATGTACACTATATTGATGACGGTGTTTTTTACAGGGGCCATAGAATTGTTATTCCACAAAACATGCAATCAGATTTGTTAGAGGAATTGCACACTACACATTTAGATTTAGGTGTACAGAAAATGAAACAGTTATCCAGACGCTATTGTTACTGGAAAAACATTGATAAAAACATTGAAAACCAGGTAAAATCTTGTCGCGAGTGCCTAAAAAGTACGAATGCACCAACACAAATTATAACACATAAGTGAGAATACCCAGCAGAAAATTGGGACACTATTCATGTGGATTATGATGCAGGACCGATAAATTACCAGCATTATTTAGTTTGCATCGATGCAAAATCCAAATGGGCGGAAATCGAAATTCTCAATGAACATCCTACATCTGAAAATAGAATCGAACTTTTACAGCGAATATTCAGTCGGAACGGTAACTCAAAAGAAATTGTGTCAGATAACGCAACAGTCTTCACCAGTGAAGAATTTCGTTGCTTTTGTAAAGACAATGAAATTTATCAAAAAGTGATTGTTCCTGGTTATCAGGCAACAAACGGAAGAAATCCATTGAAGCCAATGGCAATCTTGAGATTCCGTCAGAAATAAAAGTAATGCAAATATTAATGAGATATCGAGCCACACCACTCATCGATAAAATACTTACATAGGAAATTACGAATTCGCCTTGATTCGATTAAACCAATGCTTCAAAATCAAAAGGCAGTTACTACGGCATCTTCTCTTCCACCATCACGTGGTATTCAAGAGGGGGAGAGAGTATAGTAGCCCAATTTTTTATAAACAACAAAAGAATTTGGAAACCAGGTTCTATTACGAAGAAACTAGGCCAACTTCACTTCTTTGTAAAATTGAACGAAGGAAGAACTTTAAAACGTCATACCTATTTATCAACTCCGCCGTACAAATGTAAAAAAGTGCATTTTCAAATTACACCTCTGGAGCAATCATCACGGAATGATGACTATCAACACTTTGTGTCTGATACAGAGGCGGATCCAGACTTCGATTTGGGGAGGGGGGGGTCATGGAGTGATTTTTGTGACTGGGTGGGGAGTGGTGTGCACATCAGAATATTAAAAAAAAACATTTTTACTGCATATAAGAACAATATATTTATATTACAAATTCAGCTCGTCTTCTGGAGCTTTTCCCAAAAGTGGTAATAATTTTGTCGACGTCAAGCTGAATCTGGCGGTGAATATGGAGCAAAGCTAGACCAGTGAGCCGTTCCTCCTCCATAGTTGATCTCAGCCAAGTTTTGAGCAGGCGCAGGGTTGAAAAGCTTCGCTCAGCGGTTGCCGCACTTACGGGCAGAGTTGCAAGAATTTTGAGCAGCATCTGAATACATGGGTAAAGGTCAACATCACAAGCCTGAATGACTTCTATCAGAGAATCCGGAATTTTCAGGCCATCTTGAACCATACGTTCCCATTTTGCCACCCACATTGTAAACTCGGCTACGACGGTAGAAGCAGGAACACCCCAGAGACCTTCATATCGTTTAGCCACTTTCAAATTGAACAGCCCCATGACATCTGGAGAGAGCCTGTCTTTCAAGTCGGAACTAACGCTGTCTAATAGGGAAATGAATACTGCCCTTCGGAAGTACTCTTCAACGATCTCAGCTGGGTAGTTTTCCCGATGTCTTTGTCGACTGGCGGTCCGCGGTATTTTTAGCTCAACGTCCATTTGTTCAGCAATCTTCTGTGCTTCAGAAAACAACTGCTGGAAAACAGGGTCAACTTCCTGTCTCTTCTTTTCGAGAACGGACATCGTATCCTTCAATGCGTCAGTTGCCTTTTTTAGGTCTAAAGACGATGTTTGAAGGTAACGGCTCAATGACACAGTTGTACCTAACACATCATTCAGGCACGTGGTGGTGATGATGAACTCTGGGGAGCGTAGAGCATATTTCAGGCATTGAGCGTCTGATGCGGATTTGCTATCTCTCCATGATGCAATGTGTTCAAGAACGTCACATATCTTCACTAGTGTATCTCCCTGAAATTGTAGATGCCCATCATGCCTCTCTACCCAACGCGTCTCGCAAATACTTTGTAGTGACTTTCCACCTAGCACGTCCTTAAAAACGGCATGTCGCTTTGCGGAAGAATTAGCAAATGCTACAACTTTCTTCATAGTTTCAGTTGCGTTACGGCAAATGACAACCTGACTAGATTTTGCCAGTGAGTTGTTTAGTGCATGATTATTGCAGGGAGAATGACTTCCGTGAATAGCTGTCTTCAGAAGCTCCTGGGCAGCACCTTTTGCAGAAAGGTTAATGTTTAAGAGGGGGTCATGACCCCGATAACCCCCTCCTTGGATCCGCCACTGGTCTGATACTCAAGGACCAAGTCAACAAATACAGCCAGATTCTCAGCGTCACCCACAGAGCAAGTGCAATTGCCAGCTGATGAAGAGCAGTATCCGCGGCGAAGAAGAGTGACGCAATTGCCAGCATACCTGGATTATATTACGCGCTGATTCTGGAATCTTCCACAAGTGAACTTTAAGAGAAGGAGACTAGTGTTTTTCATAATATAATAATATAGAATCCGGAATGCATTTGTCAATGTATAATAGTATATTAAGATACAAGTGTATAAGACTCAACGAGTTTAAGGGCACGACGCAAAGCGGAGTGCCTTTAACGTTGCAATTATACACGTGTATCTTATAGTATTTTTTATTATACCTGCAGTATAATTTAAAAATAGGAATTACAATGAAATCATATTGACGTTGTACTCGAATTCATGTCTAATTAAGTGGGCTGGGTGTTCGTAATTTCACAATTGCCATGGAAATTTCACTTGACGTTTGCTTATAAAAATCATCGTCTTTGTGAATAAAACGAATTCCGTTGAAAAAGATAATACACCGTCCATTAAATCGCTTGTTGTAAAATCTAAACAAACGTTGGTAGGTGGAAAATCTCAATCCAGTAAAGCCTATTATCAAGCATATGAAAAGTTGTTTCCATGGATGAATAGAAAGTTACTTACGAATAAAGTCTTAAATGCATCGATAATGCTGGCATATATGAAGGAAATGTCAAAGGTATTTAAATCTGCTATCTTTTGGTGCATTCATTCAAAACTTCACTTATTGCTGCGACTAAAAAGTGGAACAGATTTGGAAGCATACCCTAAATTACGCGCGTTTGTAAAAGCTTCAACTAAAGGATAGGTACAAGCCAAAGAAATGTTCTGCATTTACAGAAAGCGACTTAGGAAGATTTTTTATTTCGCCCAGATGACAGTTTCAAAAGTCATACTTGAAGTATCGTTACTTAGCAACTTTAAAGCACGTGTGTTTTAAAGGCCTTTTTTCGCACGCATTTGAGTGTTTAAAACGGAGATTGTGATTCAGGTATAATAAAAAAATAAATGTTCTACGTTATTCACAAAATATTAAAATCTTTTTGCATTTTGCAATCACATGCCTTCAGCTCTTAGCAACTGTTTAACAGCCAAATTGGCAAAGTAACGTGTGGAACATTTTTGTGCCCAAACGCCATCAAATTATCACATGAACTACCTACTTATTGTCATTTTACTAATGTACAAAAGTGTAGATACATATTATTATTTTTATTTACGTCTAATCAAAGAACATACCACACATGCTAAATATGTTGATGTTGTTCGGGTGTTTACATGAAACAACCTCAACTTGATAATGAAAAAAATTCCACAAGAAATTTTTACTATTGAATATTAATCTTTCACCGTGTATGCAACCAACATTACGAACGAGTATGTTGAATAAGCTACGGTTAGCACGTGGGCATTTATTTCGCACGGGGATTTCGCGGTTTTTTGGCGGCGCCAGATTATAGTTATTTATAATTTGCGCCACATTTTTAAATTAACCTAAAATGAGCAATTGTTTCGATACGCTTAATTAGGCACGTATTTACGAATTGTTGTTTTCTCTGTCCAAATTATTATTTTTTAAACCCAATCGCATTATTGCTATTTGCGTAAGAAAAAAGCGAATGTTTTTTCAGTCATTAGCGGGAAAATGATCCGCAAATATGAACAACTAAACAATAGGATAGAAATGTAACTAATTTGGAGGTAACACAGTTATAATTGCTGACGTTCATAGTTTGATAGAAGATTGAAATTAATAGAATAATGGATAAGCAATTATATTTTAGTGCGTACTTTGAACTAAACTATGAGTTCAATCAGGTTTGGGATTTTTCCACTGAATTAAAAATATGCTAACAGCATCTTCTCTTGTTACAAAGAGTCTTTTGACCGCTCTTGGGCAGGCAACGTTCAAGAATAAGCTAGCTCATCTTATTGGACAGTCGCATCCATCTAAATTTACGATTTCGTGGGGTAGGTATTTTTATTAATAAAAAGCAAATTAAGAATTCAGTGGAAATTTCCACATCCTCTTAGCAACAGCCGAAACATACTGCGTTTTAGACGAAATTTTTTACAATCTAAATACCTCAATTACATGAAATTGCAAAATCTATGAGGACGTGACATCAAAAGTCAAATCACATGAAAATATTAGCGCTAAATTGTGTTAAAAAAAATCAAGGTTAAAGAACAGAAACACGAGTTTCATAACAAAGTGTGGTTCTTACGTCAGGACACACCTCCCAACGTCAGTGGCTTGACCCCCTCAGCCCACCATTAACTTTCAGCTTCGCTAATATAAATAAGTTGTCTGCTGACTTCGTTTGTCGTCCTTGAAACAAATAATACTAAATACCATTGACTTGCATACGACAATAAAGCTATTTTAAGGTTTAGCAGGCAATAGATGAAAGCCAGATTTGCGATTTTATGCTGTCATCCCAATCAATTTTGATAAATGCTATTTACGCTACGTAGATTGTAAATTCGCAAATTCTAATTCTTACACGCCTTTATTAGACTATTTGTGGAAGACGAACATTGTTGCACCTATTCAGGGCAATGAATGCGTCATTTATTTATTGCGGCAATACTTCGGCATGTGAACCCGCAGGATTCAATAATTTGTTTATTACTTCAGCTTTTACCGGCAAACATTAGATCTGCATTATTTAATGTTATTCATCAGGTATTGCGCCAGTACAAAACGAAACAGCATATTTGCGTAATTTTTCAAAAATTTCGTAAGCCTATCTGAATAAAGCAAATAGTTCTGTCGCCGGGGTATCTTATTATCTTTTTGTAAGATAAAGATAAGTAAAGCTCGTGCGAGCTGTGGGTGAAAAATATTTACATAAAAACGTAAATCTCTCGAAAGAAATTAGCTTCGGTTAATTAATTGTGGGATTGATGTACATAAATTTTAATCATGGTAATATGCAGTCTGCTCATAGTTTTAATCCTAATAACCACTTATAAAGTTGGTTTGAGTGGGTCATTTCTGTTAATGCCAATTAATTGCGAGATCTAAGCTCAAAAGTGTATCCTACAGTTTCTGGTGGAAAACCATTACGCTCTTAGTTCCATCAATTTATATTTGGAGATGACTTCATTACATTATTAGCGAGATCACGTACGCTTTCCTGAAACTAAACAAAACCTATAATTATTTAAATCACATTCCGACAAACGAAATAGCATCTTCAATTATGATATCAAAGGACAAATGCTGGAACACTATAACTGCACCATTTTCCATGAAAATTTATAACATGCTGCCCAATGTGCAAAAGTATCATTGAACTTTGTGGTGCAAGATTTGTCAATCTTGTGCCACTTGTAATAAACACACTTGATTATAGTATGGCGTGTCATATTCAATTTGCGAACTTTTTAACACACTCTTCGAGTTTAAGGGGTATGTTTATAAATAATAATCGGATTGGCTAGCTCACGTCATGATTACTATAATCCAAAGTACCTACAATTTGGTCAGTTAGAACCATTGCATTTAAAATGGTGCCACGATGGCACCGTGTTTAATTTTGGCTCGATGCAGGAGTTCGTTCTTCTTCATGGGGTATCTAAAAAAGTGTCGAAACTTATTTCGAAGGTTGCTGCCTGTGAAGGTTTCCATGGGCTGTTTGTTTTACTGTATTGTTATTGTTATCAGTTGCGTCATGCAAAATATATAGATAATAATCACTTACAGGAAAGTGTTTTCCCTGTCAAAGAAAACACAGCCAGTACGTTGATAGCATTATATTACTAGTGTTTTATCAAGACCGGATTAGCCGAACATCGGGCCTTTGAGTTATGATATTGTGCCGCCTTCCACCACCGCCTTTTATTAATTGGTCCTAGATTTGTCCATTGGCGCATACTTACATTTATTATAATAATCAAGTTATACACTGACGATACACACCCTTAATAATAGTAATGAAAACATAACCCCAGACTATAGAAAAAGAAGACTATTCTCAGGACATAGTTTCAACAATTTCTTATCCTATCTTGTGCAAGAAAATTGGGATCAGGTTTATCAATGTACAAATTCTAATGAAGCTTTTAACTATTTTTTCGAAATGTTCAGATATTAGTTTGAACTATGTTTTCCGTTCAAAACCCCTAGAATTGCTAAAAACGGTAAAAGACCCAATAAACAACCTAGGATTACAAGACAACTTGTAGATCTGAAAAATAGGGTAATTGATTACAGAATAATGTCTCAAAGTTTTCCAGTACTTGGTACAGTATATCGAAACCTTCACATTCACTATCAACAGCAATCAGTAGTATCCAAACTATATTATGATAAGATGTTAACAAATTCTTCGAACAAAATGAAAACAACTTGGAATATTATAAATTCCATCAAAAAATCTAATAAAAATACATATATATAGTTACTAAAAAATGGAATAGAGGTCTCCGATTCGGAAGCAGCATTTGATAACTCTGTAAAAAGCAATTCTAGTCGGGTTTTCACGAGCTTTCTACGGATATAACTAGGTTATGGTTGGATGTATGAGTATGAAGCTGATTTTATAGGCCCTTTAGTTATATTTGTCGCAGGTGTCTTGTCAAGTGGGCCTGGGAATATGGATGAGTAAAATCTGACAATTTTTAGAATTTGCGAATTTACAATCTACGTAGGAAGCGTAAATGGCATTTAGATCCTTTATAGTTTTATTGTTTATTATTCTTTACACATGAATTTGGAGTCACTTCAAACGCATTATCTTGATGTTGAAA